CAAAGAAAGACACAGTAGGAAGAAAAAGGGTATGTGTGCAGAATATGTGTGGGTACTGATTATGTAGGGTCTTGTAGGCCATGATAGACATTGGACTTTAGTCTGATTGTAATACAAAACCATTGGTGATTTTGAACACACAAGTGGCATGGTCTGATTTATATGTATATACACACATACACATACATTTTGTTTTGAGATGGAGCCGTGGTCTGTCACCCAGGCTGGAAAGCAGTGGCGTGATCTCGGCTCACTGCAACCTCCAACTCCTGGGTTTGAGAGATCCTCCTGTCTCAGCCTCCTGAGTAGCTGGGATTACAGGCACGCGCCACCACGCCTGGCTAATTTTTGTATTTTTAGTACAGATGGGGTTTCACCATGTTGGCCAGGTTCGTCTCGAACTCCTGACCCCAGGTGACGCATCTGCTTCGGCCTCCCAAAGTGCTGGGATTACAGGCGTGGGCCACCGCACCTGGCCTAATTTGTATTTTAAAATAAGGATCACTCTGAATGCTATGTAGAGAATAAATTACACGACGAAAATATAGAAGCAGGGTATATACCAAAGAGTATGCCAAGAATGGGTGCACATGTTCACTCAAAGACAGGGTGATAATTTTCATAGTAACTTTATTCATAACGACCACAAGCTGGAAACAACCTAAATTTCTATCAACGGTAGAATGGGTAAGTTGTGATGTAGTCACACAATGGACTACTACACAGAAGTAAAACATGAACTGCTACTACATATAACATGGATTACTCTCACAGATACAATGTTGAACATGACACGGAAGAGTGCATATAATTATCTCACTTATGTAAAGTTTTAAAACAGGCAAAGCTAATCCATGGTGATAAAAGGGGTTGGTGTGGGGGCCTGGGGAACATAAGCACACCTACTGAAGTGCTAGAAATATTCTACATTTTGACCTGGGTGGTGCATTCAAGGGCATATATAAAAATCCACTGAGGTGTACACTTAATATCTGTACATTTTAAAATTTTACCTCAATAACAAGTTAAAAATACACTGGAAGCAAGCATATAAATGAAGAAGTGGTGGTGTCTTCCAAATATTTCTGATTTTTCTCCCAGGTATATGTAAGGACCACACTCTTCCTAGAACTTTAATGTGGCTATGTGATTTGCTTTGGCCAATGAAAGTGCTTTGAGAGTCCTTAAGTGATTTGCCATACTCTCTTTTTTCATTTCACAGTTAGCAGCCACACTCCTGATGGTATCTGCTTTGTCAGCCTGAGACCCAGAATGAAGGCAACTTAGAGCACAAATTGGTGAACTTTGTCTGTAAAGGGCCACAGAATAAATATTTTAGGTTTTGTGAGATGTACACACACTGTGTCGCAACTACTCAACTCTGCCATTGTACAACGAAAGTAGCCACAGATATAAATAAATGGACAAGGCTATATTCCAGTAAAACTTTATTTAGACAAACAAGGAGCTAGACAGATTTTGCCCGTGGGCCATAGTTTGGTCATGGCCAACCTATGACCTAAACCAAAGTCCCCAGGCAAGTTGCAATAGAAAAGTTGTGTGAGACAGTAAGATTTGGCCTTTGTTACCCAATGGCAAGCTAGCCCATGCTGACACAGAAATTGGTCCCTTGTTTTTTAAAATGCTAAAATACTGAATACTGGCTTAATGGTTAGCTGGAAGGCATTCAGGAAATTGTTATCAAAGAAGGAAGAAATAATTTATGCAAAAGTAATTTATATTATGGAATGGTGAAACTGCCCCTTGAAATAACCTGAAAGGCAGATCATCTTACCCTTTACTAAAGAAAAAGACAGAGAAACAAAATATTTTGTAGTTGCTGTCTACTGTACTTGACAAAACATATAGAAAAGAGATGAACTCAGAACAGATGGGTCAGTTTGCAGGCAGAAATGAAAAGGAATACAGAATTCACATATTCAAGTAGTTACTGGGTAGGATGAGGCAACATTTTAATAACAAAAAGATAAAAATGAGAAATCTTTTTTTTGTTTGTTTGTTTTCTTTTTCAGACGGAGTCTGGCTCTGTTATCCAGGCTGGAGTGCAGTGGCACGATCTCGGCTCACTGCAAGCTCCGCCTCCTGGGTTCACGCCATTCTCTTGCCTCAGCCTGAGTAGCTGAGGCTACAGGCGCCCGCCACCACGCCTGGCTAATTTTTTGTATTTTTAGTAGAGACAGGGTTTCACTCTGTTAGCCAGGATGGTCTCGATCTCCTGACCTCATGATTCGCCCACCTCGGCCTCCCAGTGCTGGGATTACAGACGTGAGCCACCGCGCCGGGCGAGAAATCTTTTAAAAAATAAAAAAAAAGAGAAATCCTTTAGCCAAAAGGCTGATTAAAAGCCAGTTTTGCAGCCAGGTGCAGAGGCTCACACTTGTAACACCAACATTTTGGGAGCCCGAGGCGGGCAGACTGCTTGAGTCCAGGAGTTTGAGACTAGCCTGGGCAATATAGCAAGACCCTATCTCCACATAAAAATACAAAAATTAGCTGGGTGTAGTCACATATACCTGTAGTCCCAGCTACTTGTGAGGCTGCAGTGGGAGAACTGCTTGAGCCAGGAAGGCAGAGATTGCATTGAGCTGAGATTGCACCAGTGCACTCCAGCCTGGGTGACAAAGTGAGACCCTGCAGCAAGGACCAAATCACTGGATGACTATGACACCTACTGTTAAGATCTCTGAATGACTTAGTATGCCTCAGACTAAAAGTCTAACTAAGATTATACTAGTTAATCCCTTAAATTGGTCAGAATGGCTTAAGGAAATAGACTAAGGGTGTGGCTTTCCCACCCAAGCCTGAAAAGCCTCAGTTACCCAGAAATTAAGTTCAGAGAGGCATGGGAACAAGAAGGCAAAGAAATACAACAAACTTTAGAAGTATACATTAACTAGATGTTACTTTTGGGTCATCTCCCTTTGGGTGATAAGGACATTCTGCAGGTATAAAAACAAGTGAACTGAAAATATAGTGACCAGAAGGGCTGAGTCAGTCCTCTATTTTGTTAAATTTACTTACTTTTAAATCCCAGAAGAGCCAAAAATCATCTGTAAAGGAAAGTAGCAAGTAAATAGCATGCCATTTTCTCCTAGTGTTGATGCCTACAAAAGGAAAAATGATTATTAACTCTTAGGCGGCATTATCTTTTTCCAATACTAAACGTAACATTTTAATCACTTAAGTATTGTTTTAGTTCACTAAATAGTTGTCCAATCTTTTCCCTCTATATGTAGGTTCCTTTGGAAATTAAAAAAATATATATATATACACATATATATATGTATGAAACACTGTTCATAAAGGGCAAAAAAAAAATAAGATTCTATACATGGATATACAAACTTAATATTACATAGTGGATTTAGTGTGTATATCTGGTTGTGAATCCTGAGTTTACTACTTACTGTGTTTACCACAGAAAACCGCAGTTTGTTTAACATTCACATAGTAAATATTTGAGTCACATGCTAAGTGCTACACTAAATTCTGGGAATACAACAATGAGGTCCCTAGTTACAAAGAACTTATCTTCATTTTTCAATTAGTAATATGAGGATAAAAGTTACCCAATGGACAATCTAAGGCAGAATGACTGTGAAGGTCAAATAAGACTGTGAGAGAGCTTCAAAAATTGTAAAACACTACACAAATACTCGTTTGTCCAAACATTTATTGAAATGCCAGGCATTGTGCTAAGTACTAGAGATATAACAGTGAACAAGGCTTATATGGTCCCTGCCCTTACAAAGCTTACAGTCTAGCAGTGATCAATAAGCAGTAACAATAAAGTGTGCCAAGTGTATGTTTGGGAAAGAACAGAATGTATAGGGAATGGAGAGTAAGGGCACCTAATCTAGAGGGCATCAATGAAGGTTTCCTAGATGAAGTAGCATACTGAGACCTTAAAGATGAAGATAAATTTGTATAGTACCCGAAGAGCAATGGTGAAAGCAGTGCAGTGATATGATCAGTAAGTCTTTTGGAGCAATTTAGTTGTAGTGTAGAAAGGAATAAAAATAAAAACAGGGAGACTAATAAGGAGGCTGTTGCTATAATTAGGTAGGTTAATGGCCTGAATTAAAGTGGTAGCATTGGAGAATTGGGAAAAAGGACAAATGAATGGTTGGTAGTGGTAATGCCATTTAGTGAAAGAGGAAACATGAGAGAAGCAGGATTGGGGGCAAGATCAACAACACGTAGTGCCTGAGACAGCAAAGAGGATTTGTTAGCAATTAGATGTATCAATTAGGGAAGGTCTAGAAAGGAGATAATGAATCTGAGAGTCATCTGCATATAAGTGGTAACGAAACCATGGAAGGAAATAAGATCAGCTAGCGAGATGACATAGAATAAGGCAGTCTAAAACACATTTTTAAAAAAATACGAAGAACAGATATTTAAGGGAAGAGGTGCCTGCAAAGACTAAGACAGCATACCCGGAGATGGTATCTTCTCAAAGCTAAAGTAATCAAGTGTTCAAGTGCTTCAAGGAGGGTAAGACTATTAACAAGGACTTAGTGAGCATAGTGGAGCAATTTGAGTAGCAATACAGGAGACTGGGAATACAAATTTGTCAAGAAAACTAGTAGGAATGAGCTACAGGGCAGTAACTGGTAAGGACATTTTTTTTTTTTTTTTTTTTTTTTTTTTT